ACCTCGGCCTGGAGCTCTGCCACCTGCCCCTCCAGAGCCTATAGACATTCACAAGAGGGGCAGGCGGGGGAGTTACCAGACCTCAGTCTCACCCATGGGGATCCCACCCAGCCACCCCCGCAGCTTGGGGGGCAGGTGGTTGCCGGCCCCCCCAAGGGGTCCGTCTGAGTGGAAGCCTCAGAGGAGCCCCGGCAGGGCGGCACCACAGGGACTGGGCCCCTGGCAGCACTGTGAGTCGTCACGATGGCTTGCAGATAGTCCTTACCTCTCTCCTTGTTGATGGAGCCTCCTCCCTCCTGAGGAAGACTCTCTTGCTGCCCTGCCTGCTTCTGCTGGCGCGCCCTTACAGAGCGTGGCTCCCTGCCCGGCTCAGCAAAGAGGGATCTGGGGGGATCCTCTGCAGCTGTGCTGGCTCCTGCCCACTTACCTTTGGGGGGGGGATCAGCTGCTGCTACCCCCGCTGTCGCTTCTCAGCCTCCGCTGCCTCAGGTATGTTGCAGGGGGCACATGTGTGCCGAGAGCCCGCACATGTGTGCCCAATCAGCCTCCCCTCCCTCCTTCAGCACCCAACTAACAATGGCTCAAGGGAGATCACTAGGTTTGTTTAGGGGTAAACAATGGTTCATATGCTGGGTAATAGGAACTGATCACTCCTGGCTATAGGTGGCATTACTCTGAGGGAGCTCACAATACAGACAGGCAGATTCAGTGTTTTGGATACCAATAGAGGAGTCATTACTAGAATTGGTGTGATAAATGCTGAGCTGGGTGTGTGTAGATGTGGGTTGATTAGCATTTGGAGTAGGGATCCCCCATCATGCAGTGCTCCCCAGCTTCTCTGGTCCCAGAATTCAGTGCGGTCCATGCCTCGGGATCTCTGTTCTCCATCCTGAATGCTAACGAAGGCGCATGCCTGTTCCATCTCCCATGTAAATAAGTTGTTGTCTGGTTCCAACTCAGATGCAAATGAGACCAGGGGAGTTGCTTCACTCTTGTCACCCTTGTCTGCAGGGCTTTAGTGCGTCTCCCACTGCATCTTCCTTGTCTTTTGTAAGTCCTTCCTCTAATCAGCTCTTGCTCAGGCTGAGGAACAGTGGGACTCTCACTCCCCACTGGAGCTCGTGGTCCCAGTGCCTTCGCACTGGGCTCTCTGTTGTTCCTCACTCTGGGCTCCAAGCCCTAACCCCTTCAGGGCTTCAAGCCCCATCCCAATGCTGGGCTTCAAGCCCATTTCCACTCAGAGCTCCCAGCCCCACTCTGGGCTTCTCAGTATCCCAAAGCTTATCCCCTGCCCTGCACTGGGCCTCAAAAATCCCTAATCCCTTTGCCCCAGGAGCTTCTTGTATAGCTCCCCCACCCGCCTGGAGCCTTACTCCTGGCTCAATGCTCGTGGTGAGTCTAGGCACTGCCCCAGGTCCTTTCCTGACCTGGGTCCCTGCCTCAGAGCTCACCTTGGGTCTGGGCTCTTGCTTTGTCCTTTGGGGTGTGCTCCCCTAGCCTTTCCCTTCCACAGGGTCACCCACAAGGCAGCTAGGGCTGAAGCTTTCTGGCACCCCATACTCACCCTTCATTGGAGAGGCCCCAGGTGTAGCATTTCCTGGAAGCTGCCCTGCTGCAAGCAGCCCCACCACACCATCCAACCCCAGCATGGTGTAGTTTTACATCATGCCCCAGGACCAGGAGCCTCCAGCCATCCCCATAGCTCCTGCCCTTACCTCCAAGGTGTTTTGAGCAGCAGCTCAGCTGGTGGTCTCTCTCCAGCTGCTGGCAGCAAGTTGCTGCTGGCCTTGAAGTTCAGAGCCCCTGTTCATATAGGGCACAGCTAGGCCCTGTTTCTAGTCAGGCAGTTGTGCCTGATTGAGATCGCAGCTAGCTGCAGGCTGTCTTGCTGCTGCTCAGGCCCCCGTAAGTAACAGAGCACACTGTGCTCTGTCGCAGGGCCTCACGCCTCTTTGGAAGGGCCAGAGCTATTGTACAAGTGGGGGAAACTGAGGCAAAGAGGCACGTGATTTGCCCTAGCTTGAGGTGGGGGACAGCAGCAAGTCTGGGAGGGGAAATCAGGAGTCCAGGCTTGCTGCATGGCAGCCTCTTAGATGGACGTGGAGCAGCGCCCATGAGTCCTGCCTCTGTTGGGCTGCTTTAGCCAGGCAAGCCTCCAGCCAGGAGCCAGGGGTCCTGTCCTGCAACCCACGAGACTTGGAAGCTCCTTCTCTCTTTGGGAAAGGGCAGGGAGAGCCAGCTGCAGTAGGCCGGCAGGGAACGGGTGTCAGCAGCTGGGGATAAGGAAATGGAACAGAGCTGGAATCACACTCCCACCCACCTCCGTCACCGAGCCCCACCTCCCCGCCCTGCCTTCTGCATGCTAGACACCAGCCTCCCTCATCTCCCCAGCACAGCTCCACTGGGCGGCACGCAGAGCAGAGCCTCGCCACGCGCCTGCACCCACGCTCCACACCCGCTCGCTCCAGGCCACTCGGCTCCTGTGCAGCACTGAGCATCCTGCCCTCGCAAGGATGCTGCTGCTGCTGCTGCTCACCAGTGCACTCAGCTGTTGGGGACAGGAGGCAGGTAAGAGGGGCTCCCCAGCACCCTACTCTGGCTGGCTAGCTTGCAGGGGGGGGGCTGCAGCCAGCCCCTCTGCTCCACCTCAGCCAGTGGGAGTCAGTCTGAGCCACACTGCCTTTTGGCTGCGCCTCAGGGCATTGGTGCAAGGGAGCTGAGACTGCAGGTCCAAGTGACGAGGCCAAGGGATGGAGCTGAGATGTCAGGGTGGCACTCCCCAGCAAGCCCTGGGCCAGCCCTGTCTGGAGAACCCCCCCGCCATGAGCAACATATAGGTCTCTTGCTAGCTCTGACACTTCTCCTGTGCTGCAACAACAGAAGGGGAAGGAAAAGGGCCCCACAGGAAAGCCTGGTGCCAGCTGGTCTGTGACAGCTGCCAGCAGTAGGGCCAAGGCAAGGGGACCTTGGCAGGGCAGTGATAGGGAGAACAGCCAGAGGTGAGGGACTGGCCAGGTGAGAGGCTGGGGACTTGCTGGGGTTGTCTTCGACTTGCATGTACATACAGTCCTCCTGGACTGAGGCCAGCAGTGCCGGGTCAGTGTGGTGTGACCGTGTCACGCTGTAACTCTGCTCGTGTGTGTGTCTTCCATCGCAGACCCCTTCCCTCTGCCAGCCCTGCACACCTTCACCATGCACCTGCTGGCTGACTTCAATGAAACCACCGTACAGTTCCTGGGCAACGCCACCCTGGATGGGGTGCTGACCCACAGCCTGCAGGGGCATGAGGCCAGCCAGCAGATCCCGCTGGAGTCCCCGGACCAGTGGGAAAAGACAAAGCACAGCCTGGAGACTTATCTCACTTACTTTAGTGGCACCGTCCGCCTTGCTGCCAAGGAAAGGAATATGCAGTGTGAGTAACACAAGAGGGGCTGCACAGCATGGCATGTGCGGGGTCCTTAATAGCTGCCGGGGTCTGGTTGTGTGGCTGGGAGTTGTGGTATCCAACAGTGTTTCTACCTGCCAGGTAGCACCTGCGGCTATCAGCAGCTCAGCTGAGTTACAGCTGCTTGGGGCAAGTTGAAAGTGCCAGGGAGGGGAATAGAAATTAGTGTTGTGTGGCACAGGGGAAGGATGGGGTAAGGGGAGAGGCCACGAAGAGCAGAGGCTGTCACCCCACACCCTGCTAGAGCCGAAAGGGCTGTGTAGGAGAGAGGTGGAGGGCAGAGATCGGGTGCTGGCGAATCAGGAGCAGGAAGGGAAGAGGGCAAATGGGAGAAAGATGAGGGGACAAGCCTGGAGGAGGGAAAGGGGGCTGAAAACAAGGGGGAGACTGGGGGAAGTGAGGGGGCAGGAGGATATCCCCGTTCCCCAGCCAGCCCCATGCCAGAATTCCTCAGCCCCAGACAGTGCAATGCACAGCATCCCCCCCTGTGACGGGTCCAGGCTGCCTCATGCCCCGTCTTCTGTGTGCCCCTCACAGACCCTCTGCACTTGCACTGCATGCTGGGCTGCCAGCTCTTCGCCAATGGCACCTCCCAGGGCTTCCACGAGGTGTCACTTAGTGGAGAAGAATTCCTGATCTTCCTGCCCCAGAGGCCCCCCAACACCTCCTGGGAGCTGCAGAGGCCAAAGGAGAACGACCTGCTGGGCCCCTTCGTCTTGAAGAGGCTGAACAGTTACCCCGAGACCACCTCCCACCTGCAGGCCTTCCTGAAGACCCAGTGCCCGGACTTCATAAGGAAGCACCCCTGGAGGGACAGCTCTAGTGAGTGGGGGTGGAGGGAAGGTCCGGGGGGTGGGCAGAGGTTGATGCCTCCTCTGCTGTGCTCTGACCCCCACTCTCCCCACTTATGCCTTACAGAAAGACGTGATCCCCGTTCACACACCCCGCTGGTGCTGGGCCTCACCTTGGGGGCCTTTGCTTTGGCAGGCTTGGCCATGGGCATCTTCCTCTGCACGGGAGGGAGGACGTAGTGGTGGTGGAGGTCTCACCCCCCCTGCCAGCCCAATGTGGAACTCTGCTATGGCAACGGACCTGCTCCATCCTGCCCACAGGAGTCCCCATGCCCCTCCTGGTACCAGCACTTCTGCCTGACCTGGGAGCAGCACTGCCCCAGCACCCCCCTTTCCACCACATCTGGCTCTCTTGTAATTGCCCTTGGGGTCCCTGGCTCTTTACTGGACACAGCAGCAGGGGACAGGACCTGAGCAGCAGCACAGAGACTTGGCCTATGGCAGCATCTGGCCTTTCCAAAGCCCGTTCTTGGAAACCACACCCCACCTGGGGTTGCAAGGTCCCCAGCAGGTGACACCAGTCCTAGACTAGGGGTGACATGGCTGGGATGGGCATGGGGTTGATGTGTATGAACAACCCATGTTATAAAGCAGTTAGCAGTGGCTGCTCAGCCAGAGGCTGGAAGGTTGGTGGCAGGGAGGCCAAGGAAGCCGTGAGCTGGGTAGAAGTGGGTGCAAAACCAAGCAAGGGGAAGGGGTGAGTCTGGGGTGCCTCATTTGGTAGTGGGTGAGAGACCATGAGTCCTCCCTGCCAGGGAGTGGGGTTGGGGCAGCTGGGGGTGACTGACCCCAATTAGCAGGGACTGTGAGCACACTGTGGGAATGGGGGCAGAACAGAGCCTGGACTCATGGGTTCTTCAACACTGTTTGTTAATCTGAGGGAAGGCACTGGAAGAGGAGGGTGGATACCAGCAGCAGTCCAGGGTCACCCCAAGATAGCTCCAGACTCATGACACCAACGCTGTAGTTTTACCCGATTTGCTCCCATGGGAACTCTATGCCAGTGACATAGAATAATACCTGATGTGTCTGGCTCCTGCTTTACACTGGTGCTAGAGAGCTGCCCTGGTATAAATGTGCTGCATGTGCAGGACGGAGTCACCACTGCCCCTGCTCCCTTGTCAACTAAAGAACGGGGCAGTGAGGCACAGAGAAGTCCCAGCGGCAAGGGATCGCAGGGAGGTGCCATCCTGCAGCCATGCAGCTCGCCGCAAACTGGACAACAACTTGCAATAATGCCAGTGTCAAGCGACAAGCAATCGCTAGCTGGGCTACAAATCATGATGGCGTTGGCTTAACAAATCTCACAGCATTAAACCTTGCATTTATTATTTTGTCTTCTCGTCTCTCCTCCCAAAGGGGCACTGGGGGTCTGGTTCACACTTCTCCCTGCACCCACAAGGGCTAAACACTTTCTGTCTTGAAGCAAAAGCCAAGCTTGTCTTGCAAGCTTGTGTTGCTCTTTCGGGGAAGGACTAAATCTTACCAGACATTCAATAAAATCAGGTGAGTTGCTGGTGATGCCAGACTTGCCCATTTTATAGCAGCAAGCTTCTCTCTTAATATAATTTTGTCAAAAATATTTTGCAAAGGAAGGAGGTGAACAGACAAGAAGGTGGGGGCGAAGGAAGATAAAGAAAGGATGGGAGAGACAGGAGGGGAAGGCAAAGCATTGTGTTGAGATTAATCACTAGAGATTGCTCACAGGTGTTTAAAAGACCAATATTTACCCATTGTGTCATGAGGTCAGCCAAGACGCTAGGCCAAGTGCTCAGAGGCCTTTTCCATCTAAGCCAGGCAATTACTTTCCTTTTAATGGTATTTCCAAATTGGAGGGGAATGACTCTTTCCACCCTAATAGGGGATTCCTTTGGGAATCATAAGATGCACAGGCCAAGATTTCAAAGAGAGAAGAATAATAATAGCCATAACAATAATGATGACACTAACATGGGAGTCTTAAGCAAGGCACTTAAATAACTGGCCTGATGACCAGAACTCCTGTTTCACCCCCGTAAACACTCAGGCAGGTGTTTGACCACAGCATTAGGAGCGTCACGGCAGGCCATCACATTTGGCAATCTTGGCCTTCAAACAGACTGCTGCCAAACACCAGCCCTGCCCTCAGAGCATATCTGACTTCTCTCCAGGCCGTGCTGAACACTGGCCTTTGGCTTTCTGTTCTTTGCTGTTTGGAGCACGTCTCCGCAGTCGCGTGCAGGTCAGGCTCAGAGTCCAGGTGCCTTGGAGGAGGTCTCTGACCTGAGGCTGCTATGGATTAGGCTAGAAATGTTATTGCTTTGGCTCCAAAGCATCTGCTACGCTGCAGACATTTGCAATGGAAAATACTTTATGTAGCAGCCTGGAGCAAAACCTCCTGCACCTCCTGTGGCAAGCACAGCACTTGCTGCCATGGTAAAGGCAAGTTAGGAAGGGGCTTAATATGTACATCAAACATTATTTTAGTGCAGTCTAACTGCTGGAAACAAGAAGGGAGCCAGTAGCGTGTGATCAGCCTGCTCTCTGGAGCCCCCCACTGAGTAACTCTGTGCAAGGAACCCAATGTGGAGACCTCTGAGCTGCTAGGTCAGTCAGCACCTGCAGGCCCTGTGCAGGATTGGTCTCTATGGGATAAGCACAGACAAAAGGGGCTGGGTTTGGGATGCGACAGAATGGGCTCTTTCTGACAACCTTCCCCCTCAGTCGGGGTGACACCCTATGTTTTGGGGCCCTGCCAGGAAGGATTTGGCTTGAGGGCTCGTTAAACAGTGCTGAGTGCAATGGGGCTTGTTTTTCATGTCTGGCTCTTGAAATACATCATGTTTTGGATGGCTTAATAACACTCTACTGGGGAAGATTTCTGGGAAAGTCTAGTTCCTGTTTGCTTGTCCTCTGCTGCTGCCTGGCTTAGGGCAGAGAAGAGCTCACAGAGGGACAATGAACATGCCAACCCCATGGCCTTGCAGTTCCCTTTGCTTTTCTGGGGTTTGTTGCTGCCCCCTAGAGCTATTTTGCAGCTTATTGTGCTACCATTTTAAGTTCCAGCCACCTTGTTAGTTAAGTCCTGCTAACGGGACCTGAAGTGCTGATGGGCTGCAGGCATTGCTAGGCTCCAACACATTCCACGCACAATTAAGCACTAAGTACGTAGACACAAAAGGCTCTGCAAACTTCTTTCCTTACCAAATCCAGGAAGGTAGGTATGCAGTATCTGTTGGCTATTCACAGCATGAAAATAGCTGCAGAATACCCATGGAAAAGTTCCTTCCTGCCCACTTGGATTAGAAGTTAGCTCATGCCTTCGGTTCAGAGTTTAAAGCAACCTATATAAATGTTGTAATTAGGAGTTAAATATGCAACTTGCCCAGTTTTTCCAAGACTCTGGGTAGTGGCTAAACTCTTGATCTCAACCCTAGCTTTTGAGAACGAGTTCCAGTGGTAAGTTGTGCGGCATGTAGAATGGTATTTGTTTTAAACTTGCTCTCTGGGGGCTCCTCTTATTACATAAGAGAGTGAATAAAAGTGCCCAACTGGCCGTCTTTAAACCACAGGTACTTTCACTACAATATTTATTCCCATCTTTTCAGCCTGTCTCCATAAACTTTTTTTTTCTTTTTAAAAATGTCTATGTTCTTAATAATTTCCATTGTTCATTTCTTCCGGCAGCATTTGTTTTAAAAATAAGGTGACCAGAGTGGAATGCAGTCTGCTCAGAGAGGGCATCCCAATGATTAAGATGATCCTGTAAATATAATATATACAGGATTTCCTCTCTCATTCCTTCCCCACCAAAAGCCAGACTCTGTTCCACCTATTAGGTGCCTAAGAGGACTTGAGATGCCTTGATGAGGATTAAATTTAGCCACCTTTCACGTAACATGCATCTATTCTTATCTTAGCCTTGAGACTAATTCAAAAGCAAGCTGTGAGAAGAAAGAGAACCCACCCACATTTTGTAGCAATAGGGTTTCAGGGAGCTGAGCAGTAGCATTACATCCCTTCCCTCTCCAGCCCCCAAATAAGGGGAGACTGCTGCAACGGGAGGTACAAGGACTATGGAAAAATCCAGCTAAAGCAGCTGATCAGAGCAATGAAAACCTGCCGGAGACATCAATCACATCAGCAGCTAGTCCAAGGCCTGCACTAAGGAAGGATCAATGCATCTAGTCAGACCAGTCCCAACAAACGTTTGCCTAATCTGTTCTCAAACTCAAGTGATGGGAATGCCACAGCTTCCCTTGACAGGGCTTACCTATCCCAGGAGAAAAAAAAAAAAATTGCTTGTCCCAATAGCTAACTTCAATCTCCCTTTTTCTTCAATCTCCCTGCAAATTAAACCATTACTTCTTATTTTACTGAAGACAAGGGACAATTGATCACGGTTTTCTTTTCAGAAACCATTCATATATTTGAAGACATTATATTTAAACCCTTTTAGTGTCTGCTGGACTAAAACATCCCCCCCCAAAAAACAAAAAAAAAACCAACCCACCCCAAAAACAAAAAAACCCCAACCCAGTCTTTTAATGTTCCCTTACAGGTCACATTTCCTACCCTCTGTCTCTTTTCTGGACTCTTCATTTGTCTAAGTCTTTAAATATGGTTAACTGGACACAGGCCTCCAACTGAGACTTCAGTGTGAAGCAGAGGAGAGTAATTAAAGTTTACATGCATCGCTCTTATTGACACACCCCAAGAGAAGCCCACCTGGCAACAGATTGCCTTATTAGCTTTCTTTGTCTGTGACCCACTAGAACACCTAGATCCTTTTCTGCTGCACATTCACCCCTAAAAGGCTACTGGACAGACTTCAATCCCAACTCCAGTGGCCAGAGTGCACCCTGGAGCCCAGCTCACGGGCAGGGCACTGCCAGGGTGCAGTACCTTGCTGCATTGCAATGTTAAAGGGGCCCCTGCTAAGAAGCAGGGAGTTGCATGAGCCACGAACATAGTCTTGCTTCCCAGCTTCCAGCAGGTCTTCCTCAGAGCCAGCGTCAGTGACAAGTGCAGGATGGGGAGAGGAAGGAAGCTGGCTGGTGGCCAAAGTCAGCGTTGAGGGTGATGCTGAGCTCTGAGCAGGAAGCCAAGGCTTGGCACAGCAGGCACACAATCAGTGTTGAGCAGCTAGCAGGTCTGCAACTTGCCCCTATACTGGCACCTCCCTCCTCCTGGTCACTCAGGTCCTCATCAGCCACAAAACAATGACCCCTTTGTTCTGTGCAAGCACAGGCAGCAGCAGCTTTTCCCCATGCTACTGGACATGACCTGCTGCCAGGTCATGGCCTGCATGCAGAAATATCTTTTAATATCACCCTGCTTGCCAA